ACACAGTGGCGCTGGGTCCTTTCTATGGCATTAAGTGTTGTTTTTTCCTTTGGTAGAGTCTTAGTAGCCTGAGCTTATTAAGTCTCCAGTAACAAGGCTGGGGCCCCGGTTGGCTTTGGGCATGGTTTTCAGTGTGGGAGCTATTTTCACAGGTTGGGGCATCTGGGTTTTGTAGGTTTTCTGCAGAGTCTGTTGACTTGTTGCAGGATGAATGAAGAGATTTTTTAAAGAAGTTCTCAGTGCCTGACCCATACCTCCCTCCCGAGTCTTAGTCTGTGTGTTTTTTTTTAAACAGAAAGTCTGCATGTGGGGTGCTGGCTTTCTTAACTGTAAGCTATGTACAAATGCATTATTGGGGTGCCCACATGTCATCGAGGAACACACAGAGTTCTGCCATCTTTCAGACACTGCATTTCACAAACTGTGAAAACCTGTTACCCACCCCCACACTTCCTCCACTCATTTCCCCTCCCCCAACTTCCTCCTTCCACCCTGGCTCCAGGGTGCAAAGGCCATTAGGGACCACACAGAACAATCGAGGAATATGCCAGGCCCCTGGGAAAGCACCCAGGCACCCCCAAGAAGAGGGATTTTGCTACACAGACACTCAAACCCTTTCTACCTGAGCCACTTGGGGTCAGCTGCCTTTCTTTTCCAGATGTTTCTGGCAAGTTCTCCAAGCATTCCCAACTCTACAGTCTCCCACCGCCCTTTGTCTCACCCTGCCACACTGGTTAGCATATGAATGGGTTTTGCTTGCCCTTTCACCTTAGGTGGGGCCAGCCTGGGGGTGAAATTCTCCACAAGTGCAGACCATGTAGTTAACCACATGGGTGAGTTACCAGCCAGTCATAATATTTCAGAGGGTGAGAGGGAGAGAGAGAGGAGAGAATAAAGTTAGCTACATGTGGTGATATGCTCCAGTATCTAGGGTTTTTTCCTTTACTACATTAATCATTTGCTTAATGGAAATTTGCTTTTTCTTTGACAAAGCTGCTCTTATAACTTTCCAAATTGGAAAATCATGTTCTATGATTTGAACATATGTAGCTATGTTCAAATATTGTGTGTACCAACAATCTGTTGTAGGCTTCCGTCTAAAAGTTTGGCAACTTTTCATCTATGTTTATCAGAATTCGTGAATTGGGAATTTTGAAGTTTGGAATTGTGTGAGAATGTTTCTTTAATGAGCTAGAAGTTCCGCGCCCCTCCCCCCCACCCCCAATTGCTTACAGCCCTTTGACTCTTTAGCCCTGGATCTTAGCAGCTGTGATACAGGTTTAATGAAGAAAGTGGAAACTTCAGTGTAAGAGTGAGGTCTTTTTTAAAGAATCCGCATGAATTTTACTTAATGTATTTGTATTATCGCTGCTCTTCACGCAGAGGGAAGCTATTGAAAGGAAACGGCAGAAAGCACGGTGGTGGGAAAAGCATGTCTCTTAGCAGAAAACAAATCACTAAAATCAAATGAAGCTTCCAGAGGCGAGTGACATCACAGCCCAGCAACAGGGATGAGTCTTGAATTAGGTCTTTAATCCCCAAGTTCCAGAATGAAGGATGCAATTCCTAGTCCTGTTCTTCAGGGCTTGACATTACGTATGCCTCTTTCTAAATCCTGGTTCCCAGAGGTGGGCAGTGAAATCTCAGGTCTGAGGCCGGGTCTCAGTCTGCCCAGTGGCCTGGGCTCAGACCCAGCACCCCTCTGCCTCAGTTTCTTCACAGGGAAAATGAAATCTCTGAAGGAGATGTTCCCAGCATCCCTTTCAGCAGAGTTCCCCAGTTTGACTCTATCAATAATTTTAACACTAAATGGAACAAAATTTTTTTCAATGTTTGACCAAATCAAAAGCACCAGTTGTGAAGAAATCTATGTTGTGTTCATCTCATTTTAGTTTGTCAAATCTGTGTGTGAACTGGTGGCAAAATGATTTAAGGAGGCAATTTAGAGAATACAGAATTCCATGGTGTCCCATGACTAACCTATGAGAAAAGTGGGCAGATACTAGGTGTTGGTCTGATGTGTGCTTGTCATCCCCCTCCATCCCCCTGCCAGCTCCTGTGTCTGAGAACAAGCCTTTCAGAGTGGGGGCGGTGTGCGGGCCATGCTGACCACGAGTCTTAACTGACCACAGGTGTTGAGCACATTCTTCAGTAACACCTCTAAGAGTCCTGATTAGACTAGGCCTGAGAAGCCAGCTCAGAGGCTGCAGCCAGTTAGGATAAACCAATTTTCTCAACCTTTTTCTTTTTCATTATCACTCCCTCCCAGGAGCTTTTTCAGACATTTCTTCTTAATTTTGCCTTTCCCATGAAATTTAATCCAGACAGATACTTCCAGATGCTATGTTTGTTTCTGTACTGCAGGTAATGACTAAGATTTTTGCACGGCCCCAAACCAATTCTGCCTCTATTACCAATGCATGGGTTAAGCCAGGAAACTGTTTTTAAAAGCCGGTTATGTCAAATTAAGTGATTTAACATTTCATTTTTGTTTTCTATTTAACTTTTTTTGGGGGGGCCACATATTATAAGGCTATATAGAAGGTGAATTTTACTGATGCTTGTTTTCCCTTTTTAAATCTTTTGTTTTTCCCCCAAAGTCCCTGTACAGATGCTGGTACTAGTGCCTAGTTAATTCACAAGGCAGAGGAGCCAGAGTAAACAGCTGAGTGACAGCCCTCCCGAGGCCACGAGTTGACAGCACTCAGCCCATAGAGACAGGGCATCCGAGAGGAATCATACCACCTGCACGCCAGCCTGCCAGCTCCCTATCCCAGGGTAGAATTGGGGAGGCTGCCTTCCTGGCTGTGTGTGTGGACATGGCCAGCTCTTATTCTACGGGCTTATTTTAGGATGAGCATGCTACAAGCTTACAGCTATCAGAAAGGCCAGAGTAGATAAGACTGGGCTTCGTGGACAGAGAGGGTGGGTGGTGGCTGTAATGTGGGGGTAGATTTGAG